TACACTAAAAATTCTGTAAATTATATCTAAAAAGCAGTGCTTAGGATCCATTTAATTTTGATGCGGATCCGGATCCGGATCCTGGATCCGCACTGGAAAATAATGGATCCGGATCCGGATCCAGGTCATTTCTTTAAGATTTACTAAATTTTTTTGCATATTTTTATCCTAAAACTTGATGAACCATTCAAAAATGAGGAAATTTTATAATCTCTCTTTTTTTCAAAAGTTCAGATTTTGGTTTTAGTAGAAAAAGTTTTTTGGAAGTTTTTAGTTGATATTTTACCCCTTGGATCCGGATCTGTGGATCCACATATTTTTACGGATCTGGATCCATGAAGCCAAAATCTTGCCGATCCAACGGATCTGGATCCTAAGCACTCCTAAAAGTTGAAATAAAAATTATTTTACTTTGTTCTGATTAATAGAATTTTTTTTTATAAGAATGTTTTTCATAAATTAAACATTTTATTTTCAAACTCACTTGCTTTTCTTGAGACTCATGTGACCTAATATGAATAAGAAACATTTCAAAATGAAGAAAAAATCCATTTCGGATATTGGGGAGTAAAGCAGGGGTGAAGGGGAAGATTAAACATCAACTGACAACCCCCCCCCCCTACCCCATCCTGATAATTTAACTCAAGAATTCATTACTTTCCGCTTTAACAAAAAAACACATTTGTTTTTAACAGTTTTTTAATGTTGATTAAACAATAGACAATAAAAATGTCATACAATTTTTTCATAATCATTTTCTTTCCCTTAAAAATGTAATTTATCGTCTAAAATCGTGCCATTTTTGAAGGTAAGGTGAGGATGCATTTTTCTGGAACTACTTATATTTTAAATAGAGGGCATCCCACGAAACATGAGAGTAACAAGACGACTTGACGGCCATTTTTCATCTTTTATATAATTTACGGCATGTATACCTAAATAAATGCTGGAAATATAATTCTAAGGTTAATAGTAAAAAAATACCCCATGTCTTGGCATTTCCAAAATGTGGTCTGCCCTTTTTTGTGCTCTCAACATGACCGGAGATATGTTTAATATTGTTCAGATGTCGACAATTTTTGTTTTATTTTTAAAAGACCTCAACTCAGTATCCATGAAAATATAATGAAAACACAAAAAAGACAGACTACATTTTGGAAATCCAAGAACTAGAAGAATTTTTTGGTTATTTTTTCAAGAACCATATTTTCGAAACAAGATGGACAACTGAATGTCTTAAATAAATCTAAAGATCAAAGATTGTCTTGCTAAGTTGTCATGTTTTGTGGGACACCAGCTGCATCATTTGAATGTTTCTATCCCTGTAATAGATGAAAACAATCAGAAGAGTGAGAAACAGGATCAAAATCTTTCTTCTTCTCATTCTCATTGCTTTACCATTCCTCTGAAACAACTAGGATATGCTGAAGAACACACTGTTCCAACCAAAGCATATTTAAAAAAGCATTGTAAAAAAGACGACATTTAGTTTCAGCGTAATAGTTCCACTTGAAGGGGAAATATTTAGATAATATAGTATTTCCGAAACTAAATGTTGTCTTTTTTACTATGTTGTTTTAAAGACCTTTCTGGGGCAATGTGAGAATTAATATATAAGTAAGATAATAGAAACATTTCTTCAAATCAAACAATTCAAATCAAGAAATCTACTCGAAAAAATAAGGCAGGCAGTGTACAGAAAGATGAAAAGCAATTCGAAACACAATTTGGAAATAAATTAGATTTAAATACGAAACATGTTCAAAATCAATTTTATTTATTCAAAGTAGCCTCAATCAGAATTAGCTCTTCAACTGGGCTTTTTTAAATATCTGGGAAATCTTAAACATTATAAAATGGAAAATTCAAGCCTTCAAAAGCCTAAATAACCATATGATTAAATAGTGATTGAAAAACAGGTTTTTTTTAAAAATATAAAACCGATATCAATCAATTGTTTTTAAATTTAAACTATTTGGATTCCTTTTCTTGGGTTAATGCAGGATTGCTTGCGTTCCCCGCTTGTGACATGAGATCGTTAATGTTGTGCTCAAGATCGTCGATCCTTGATCCCATATCGTCAATACGAGTGATGATCTGATCCGACATCATTTGGAATCTTTCCTGAAATATGAAGAAAAAAAAATATAAAGATGAGATTTAAGCAACAACTAAACGGAATGAATCTTTTTGGATGGCTCCGAAGTACTTGGTTTAACTGTATAATCTAGACCTGCATCTGTTGGAGCATGTTTTGAATGTATCCTGTCAATTCCTGATTATTAAACAGAAAATTTAGGAGTTAGGTTGAAAATGGAAATATTGCCAGAATTCTAGCCACGAATTCTGGACCCCTTCCCGATATTTCTGAAATAAAATGACATTTTTGGTTATAATAATAGCTATTGGCCGCAAAACTCGACTCTTATTTTGTCCAAGTGCTGGACCGAAAATTGGTAGATTTTTATGAACATTTCTTCAGACATGCTGTCCTTTATAACACGCTAAAAATGTTCAAAATTGTTGTTTAAAAATTGTACAAAAGCATCCGCTGCACTGGTTTAAATTCTGTTTGTTCCTGGACGTTTTTAGGATCCTGCATGAGCCCCTCACTCTCTGCTTTATCTAACAAATATTTATATTCACTCATTAAGGATTGTTTAGGGGTGTATATTTTCTAGGAAAAATCATTCTCCCCCCCCCGCTTGTTTTTCGCTGATATGGAGAAAATAAATAAAATTTTGGGTTAAAAACCCAAAGGGTGATAAAACTTGTCACCCAAGCATTCAAAAATTATCTCCCATTGTGGAGGGATTCTTAAATATACCCATCCCAGAAATACTTTAAATAATTAATCAATTAATGATTAAGAAAAAATAAACTAATCGTTTGAACCAAATAACGTTTGAACCAAATACCGTTTGAACCAAATAACGTTTGAACCAAATAACGTTTGAACCAAATACCGTTTGAACCAAATAACGTTGGAACCAAGATTTACTAATTCGCAGGTAGTAATTAAGCTAAGAAGTGTAGTTAAACTTCATCTTCGAATATCTACTTGGTACTTAACCTAATTAAATCTGAATTTTGATGTGAAACAATGTGCTAAATGTGTTTTTCTTAAATTGTCATAATACGACAAGTAAGGTTGGCTGTTTAAAAAACATAGGTTTGTACGGCGATTCGCACTTGTGAACTACTTAAGCTTTTAATTGTGGCTCTTTAAGTGAGCATCTTCTCTTTGTACAAAAAATATGGGCCCGATCGGTTCAGCCATTTTGACGTTTAACGTTATGATGTTACCTGTAGCAGGATTCTGTTCTAATTTATCTTCAGACATTTTGATTCTTTCTCGATTTATCTGAAAGTTATTTTTCTGATTCATTAAATCAAAATTCCTTTTTCGTTTTATGTAAAAATTGTTATACCATGCATTTTAGACCCATATATATATTTGAAAAGAGTTTAAAATCATGTATCGAATTCTAACATGTAAAAAGTACGAATTTCTATTGTTTTGATAATTGTGAGCTGTGACGTATTTGATAGGTAACTGTAATTTATCTAAAAGTGTAAAAATCACAATTTTTTACAGCTTAAAGATTTCAGTAGCACGCATTACACACATTAACAAGTAAAGTATATTGCATGCTATTTTATTAGAATACTTTAGAGATCACAGGAGACACCATCATGCTGCACCATGTTTTTATGGCTGAGTACAGCAATAGTCATAGGCCTATAGATGTAATGGAAGTTGGAACAATTAATGATATCCTGAGAGGTATATCAGGTGAGAAGATCATCTGAGATCTGGTAGAGGTTTCAGAAGGATGTCCCGACAATCTCTGGCTTTGTCGTCTCAACCCATCCTTTTCCCCCGAAGGTTCTGCCCGGTGGAAGATGAGATATCGAGAAGAACAGGTTTGATACTCGATCTAATTTAACCAGTATGATTAGAACTCTTGACAGAGGAAACCTAAGTGGAGATACGCCGGGTCCCTACAATATGCTACAACATTCCATACCCGGGGTATGAAGACCAAGCACATAAATCCCTCTATCTTTGACGGGATATCATGATCAAAAATGGAGAGAGAAGACGTATACAGAGATGCTCCAACTAAATAATAAATACAGATTTAGAATGGGAAAATCTGTGATTACACATTTCAAGGTCATCTACAGGATTGTAAAGCCACATCAAAAGCCATTGGGTTTGGCGCTGGAGAAGGCAGAAAGGTCTAACAGGAAAAGGAAACATTATGATCGCTAAATCAAGGAAATAATTTCCCCTTTTTCGACCGCAAAATATCAATAATGCGCTTTTGCCGCGGTAATTTCCCAATTATGGCTTTATCTTTTAGCGGACCTAAGAGCTGCGTGCAAAAGACCCTAATGCTTTTATTTAATGTAATAATTTGTATTTGTTAAGTGCGTGTGCGCCATTAACCTTTAAAGTTTTTTTTTAATTTTGTTTTCATTAGAAAACAATAGATACAGTTAGATGGGAAAGTTTACAATTTTTTTGAGGCACTTTTCTCATTTGTAAACTGCCGCAAACATTTGTAAGAAAAAGCTTCTCTCTCTCTCCTCTGTCCTCATAAATATACCTCCAATTACGACACGAACAGCTGCAACCTGAACTTGAGGGAAAACCGAGCGTCTTATTAAAACCATATATAATAGTATCTTTTTTGTGTTTATTAATTTGGATAATTGACCGTAAAAATAATTGTAGCATTTCTTAAAAATGGCTGATTAGTATTATGTATGATGATTCAACTTGAACTGTGTTGCTCCCAATCTTGTAATCTTTTACCTTGAATTTCGCGATCGTTTGAGCGGATCGCATGTTTATTATGTTATTATGATATATTATCAATTTTGTAAACGACCAATATTATTCAACAAAGTTGCAGAAATTAAGTTTGTGTTATTTCAAATGTAGTTTAGATTAAGATAGTTTCTGGGGCCGAGCGCTGCATATCCATATCCAACTTCGAACAAGTGTAACAAATTTTTCAGGCAATAGTTAAACATGACAGCTGAGCAGAAAGCAATGCAGTATTTGGATCCGGACACAGGTTAGTGTTACTTTTCTTTCTAACTGCTTGTACAAGTTTAATCACTAAAACGCTAACATCATCGAATAGAGATGCACAAACTCCTGAGTTCATTAATTTAGAATTATACCGCCGTTGAATCCGGAAAGAGCAGTAAATAATGAGAAAGAGTTTTGGACTTTATATGTGAACATTTGGCTGGAGCAACCCTGGCCTTTCCTAGCCGCAGTTCTTACCCCCCTCCTTGTCTGTCCTAGCTGTAGGTCGTCTTTTAAATATAAGCCCATTGCACTTGATTTTTTTAATTTAACGAAAGATGATCGAAATTCCGTGGCTGCGATTAAACAAATTCGGAAAAAGTTTTTAAGATTAAGACATCTTGCAGACATTAAAGGTATGGCGTAAATTTCTATAGTTGAGTCCATTTTTGAAGATGACATTCTTTAAACACTTACTCAAATTTGTGAACAATTCCTTTACATAATTGTTTATCAGGGTTCCTGATGTTGCCAGGAACACAGAGACCTGATGGATCATGGCGGAAGCCTAGAAGGTCAGTAATACTCTGTTCTTGCTTAGGATCCAGTGGTTTTGATCCGGATCCTGGATCCGCACTGGAAAAATTTGATCCGGATCCAGGTCAAAAACATTTAATGATCTTTAAACAAAAGAATTTAAAAGATTATTTTCCTCTTTTTTCGCTTACTTTATGCTGAAACTTGACGAACCTTTAAGATGAGAAATTTTAATAATATCTTGTTTTCTTTAGTTCAGATTTGGGTTTTCTGAGCAACAGATTATTTTGTTTGCATTTTTTGTTGATATTTTGACCTTTGGATCTGGATCCATGGGTCCGCATATTTTTGGGGATTCGGATCCGGATATCCAAAATGTTGCTGATCCATCGGATCCGAGCTGGGAACTTTAGAATGTGATATCCTTAATCCCGATCTGTTAATTAATCTGGAGATTAAATTCATGAGGACAACAAGCAATATTTAATCTGGAGATTTAGAAAAAGAGTGGATTAAGCATTAATCCCGATATCCACCATTCAAAAGCTCCGGATACTAAACGCTGCTTCTACCTATCTATCTATCTATGTAATTATCAGTTATCTATCCATCTATCGATCTATCAACTATCCAGTGCTCAGGATCCATTTGATTTTGATGCGACCCAAAAAATTGATCCGGATCCAAATCCGGATCCGGATTTTCAATTTTCAATGTTTTTGTGCTATTTTTTTCGCTTATTTTTATCCTAAAACTTAATGAACCATTCAAAAATGAGGGAATTTTTTCTAATCTCTTTTTTTCTAAAGTTGGGTTTTTAGGAGTAAAAAAGTTTTTTTTTGTAGTTTTTGGTTGATAACTGCCTCAATATGAAATTATAGGACTGACGACATAATTCACAATTCACAATGGTATCCTTCTTCCCTTTATCTGATCAATTCAATGCAGATTGTGGAATACTGTCGTTTTTCTAGTTCTTAAAGTGGTTAGTTTCACATTTTTTTTATCTCGTCAAGCTTTTTTTATGTACCGTTGTGAATCGGTCATGATACTTCATGAACGGAGAGTCACTTGAAACACCGTGTATAGTCCCATTAATGATATCATGTTATGTTCAGATACGTTCGTTCTTCCTAAACCTGTTGTAACTATTCCTGGTCTGAGCACTAAACCCTCGGCTCCTCTCGTTCCAAGGTAGTATCAAATATAATTTGATTATAAACAGAAAAAAATGGTTAAATTCCCCCCAACCCCCCTCCTGGCTGACCGAATCGCTGCAATAACTCTTGTGCTCTAACAATAGTTTGCTTCTTTACGCCATTGTTTGCTTCTACAGGATTATATTTTTGTCGAAAATCAACCCCCCCCCCTCCTTTATGTTAGACCTATCGTTTAACTTGTTAAAGGGGTGGGGTTTGTAGCCCAGAATTAGGGGAAACAATTTTTTCGTGTCAATAAAAGAATCCAGTATCAGTTGTATTGAAATTTGAAATTTTTACCCTTTTATTATATTCCCCCGCAGTACATTAAAAAAATATTGACATGTGAAAAAATATTGACATGTGAAAAAAAATGTCAAACTTTTTCTTAAAATCCTGATTTGAACATGTGATATTTCAGTTCCAAATCCTGATTTGAACATGTGATATTTCAGTTCCAAATCCTGATTTGAACATGTGATATTTCAGTTCCAAATCCTGATTTGAACATGTGATATTTCAGTTCCAAAGCTAAGAAGAAGAAAAATAAAGGAGGAAGCGGTAACAATGAAATCAAGGCAACTAATGAACTAATGAACAAATGGTTGATTGATTGATTGGTTTTAAAACCTAATTCAAATTTTGTTGAAACACTTAAGTTTGAACTTTAAAGCGTAAGCTCTGTTTTATAAGTGCTTTGTATTTCCTTAAAAACCAAATTCCATTGAATTAATTTTTTTGTGTGATAATTATCATTAATTTTCTCATTGATTGATTGGCTCAGGATTTGTCAGATACGCTTAAAAAAACTGTTGTATCAGAAACCAGGCCTAGGTAAGTCGACACTACAGTCAAGGTACTAATGCAAGGAAAGTTAATTGTGGTCGCGTATACTCTGCGTACATATTGAAACCAGTTCTCTCTGGGTGGAATTTGTAAACAAGAATAAATGCATCAGTTTTCGTCTAGCATCCGAGGAAGATAAAAGCATTTAATTTTGATAATTTTGAAAATTCACATAATAGTTTACAATGACCAGAATATTTCATAGATTATTTATTCCATTTCAGGCTGTGACATTCGTCTTGTGTTTACTTTTCCGCCAAAGACAGTACAAAAAATGCGTACACCTCTGAAATAACTTTCCTTGCATTAGTACCTTGGCTAGAGTGATGTTATGCATTGACCCCCTTCCCCCGTTCGTTTTCGTTTCTATGGATTGTCCCCATTAATGATTGAGAATGTTATTTAAAGTGACCCCGCCAATTGATAAGGTTGCATGTCCCTTACACATTTATCTGAACGACAATGAGGAAAATATCCTCGTTTTTTCTTTCCTAAAATGTTTTAATTTGGTCCATTTTATTCCTTCTCTTATGCCGCATAAATCTGTAAGTCACTTTAGAGAGATAAAATTAGCAATTTTTGATCAGACGAAGGTTTAAGAGGTTTCGCTGTCAATATTGCACCAGCACTTTAAAGGGTCACTTGAAAATACCTTTATTGTCCCTTTAGGTCAAAGCTATCTTGAAAATGTATTTCCTTTAAGAAATGATGCGGGGCAACCCTTGGCTACAGATCCTCAGAAGAAACTGAGAAACTTGAAGAAAAAGTTGCGAGATATTGAAGCTCTTGAAGAGAAGCTCAACTCTGGAGAGATCCCTACGCCAGAGAAGGAGCAGTTGGAAAAGGTAAACTTAGGGATTAAGGGATTGAGGGTTAAGGGATTGAGGATTAAGGGATTGGTCACTCATCTTAAACCAGATTTTCTTCCAGATTGTATTATCTGATATTTTAAACTTTAATTATTCGATCTAGCAGATTTTTTTTGTTTGAAATAGCAATTGAGAAGAGTTATCAGCAGTGCTTACGATCCACTTCATTTTGATACAGATCTGGATCCTACGTAGTACTTATTATGAGCCTAAGCACTCTTTATCCGTGCTTTTTAAAGTAAACATTTATTCAACAGTAAGAATTTTATGTTACCAGTGCTGGGAACTTTTGTGTAGTTTACTCATAATCCCGATCGCTTGATCTCGATATCCAATGTGGGCACTTCTGATTTGCGGAAAACTTTGTCATATCTTTAGCTCCCTTTTACCCCGGCCCTGACTGGGTACGATTACCATCCATGGGGGATTTCAAATACAAGTTTAATTAATCTGCAGATTAATTAAAGATCGAGATTAAGCATTTATCTCGATATCTACAACATAAAAATTACTAGCACGGAGGTCTTAAATTTTGTTTGCATATTGCTAATCCATTTGGCAAGTACTGATCCGTATATTTTTTCACTCATGATTATTATAAAAAATAGTAAGATGAAATTATACAGTTTTAGAAGTACAATTATAGTTTCTAGATATAATTACATAATGAACAAAACCAGTGTGTTAAAGGAGAGGAAGATGAGTATTTAGTAGGTCGTCTCTGGTTCCAAAATCCAACACTACTAATTTGCAGATTTTATAATTCTCTTTGAGGTTATAGATACAGGCCACGGCAGTTGGGGCTTCACGGCTTCGGCTACTACCACTCCGATATAACAGTATCATTGCACATGTCATGGTAACTCTGTGACCCATGCACTCCGGAAGGAGGCAGAGGGTAGCTGCTGGGAGGGTTGGTTACCAGTCATATAAGATAGATAGATAGATAATAGACATAATATTCTTTTAAATCTTAAATATTGTAGGTTGCCAGGAAGGTTGAGGTAGAACGGGAAATCAAGTTGCTCGAAGAGGAAAACTCATAAAAAGGTAACATTTTCATTTACGTTTTGAGATGGAATACGAAACAGCAAGCTGGTTTATGATTTCGTTTAATGTCATTTGGTGGTGCGCAACTGTGCAGTGCTGAGTGCATATATTTATTTAAATATAGATTTTTTAATATTTTTATTCGTTTTTTTAATAAAATTGTGTCAAGCATTTGTTTTTATGTCTTTTTTTACGCATTTGTTTCTGAAAACGGTATATCTTTTTTTACGCATTCGTTTCTGAAAACGGTATATCTTTTTTTTACTATGTAGTAGTTCGACCGTTTGTTCTCTCAATCAATTATTTGTTTTATTTATTTATTCATTGTATGGATGTTTCTTGTTTACTGTTGATGTTTATGTTTTATTTATTTATTCATTGATTTTCAGATGTTTCTTGTTTACTGTTGATGTTTATGTTTTATTTACTTAAATTTTTTAAATGTCGTTGTACTGGGAAAAAATAAATATTTTTGGAGATTATTAGCTGGATAAATGTTTAAATTATTGAATTTTTGGGATAAAAGTGTCAAAAATAGAGAAACATTTGCCAGTTGATGTTTAATTTTCGTATAGATTAGATTCTCAAATATATATATATATATACCACCATCTTGGATGTATTTATCCTTCATCTGTTTTTTAAATTTTATTTTTGAACTTCCATTGTAATCACAGGGCTGTATATTTGCTTGAAAAATTATTCCCCCGGCCCTCCCCTTCTTGACATTTTTAACCCCGGTAATTTTTGGTCTAACATTAGCAAAAGGATGAAAAAAATTGCAACTGTAAATTAATCAGTTCTTTTCTTTTCAGGTGTTCGTTCTTTCTTCCTTGCCAAAATATCTCAACTAACATGTTTTACACCTGTTGCATCACAGTACATTATATCTACAGTATTGTACATAAGATGTTCTTTTTTACAGTCAGTAGTGTACACTCTGTTCATTGTACAATTGCTTGTACAGATTACCATTTAAAAGTGTTCGGTGCACACTTCAGAGTGTACTGTACAGCGTATGCTGAACAGTGTACACTATACAATGTACAATTTACATTGTACATACCAGAACAAACAATATATTTACGAGCATTGTCTACAGTTATGAACTCCATTCTTAAAACGATTTTTCTTAAACAGGTGTTCACTAATGAACACTGTACTCTGTAACTCTTAAGTCATTTTTGTTTTTACCTAGCCTTGATTTTATCCTTTTCTTATTTATTATCTAAAACTGTTTTTACAATTAATGTTTTATGATTTTACAACCCTTTGACTTGTTAATTCCACTTAGCATTATCCTACTTTGTGTATTATTTTTTCTTCTGTTCTTATTAAAATGATTTTAGGTATTTTCCCAAAGGGCAATTTCCCATGGACAATTTTCCAAGTGGAAATTTCCCAAATGTGCAATTTCCCAATCCCAAGTCTATCCTAGCCGCAGCGATCGGCCAACATTGCAGCCTGTGACGCCTACAAGGCCTAACTTAAGCTTTTGGAAGTTGCCGCTTGGGAAATTGTCATTTGGGAAGTCACCCTTAGGAAAATAATCTTGGGAAGAATACCTCACAACATTTAAATCGACGCATTATTAACATTGTACTTGTACAGTACTGATCTTTTTACTGTATTCAATTAGTGTACTTGAAGTACATACATGTTATGTACTCACTCCTCTGTTCATGTTTTTGTAACTTATCTGTTAAAATGAAATAAATAAATCGTAAACATTAAATATTTCAAATAAAACTAAATTATTATTTCAGAAGAAAAATGGGATTTTTCAATAAACCCTTTAGGGTTAAATCCAACACACAGATGAAAGGTGCAATTAATATAAGATATATATCTGCTTATTATTACATTTTGGAAGATTCTGATCCGCTTCCGAATACTGGATCCGGATCCAAGCCATGAACATTGAACAATTCTAAGATTTACAGATTTTTGAACAAATGAAGAATTTACAATTTTTATACTTGATGCTTTAACCTTCATTCTCGTTTTAACTAAATAAATTCCTCCTCTGATCAAAGCTTCCTTGCGCTTTGAACTCCTGACTTCGTTCGATTACCATGCTGGATATCGAATAAAGATTAAATTGATTTGAGACTAAATACAGATCGAGATCAAACACTGATCTCGATATCCACAATCCTCCTTTTGGACTTCCCCCATATTAAATATATAATTGATACAAAATTGATCCGTAGCATTTTGGCTTCCGGATCCGCTAAAATATGCGGATCCAAGAGGGAAAATACCAACCAGAAGCTACAAACAAAAAACTCAAATCTGAATTGTTGAAGAAAAAAGATTATTAAAAATTTCCTTATTTCTAAATGGTATTAAGTTTTAGCATAAAAATATCGAAAAAAAGAAGAAAATTTTGAAAATTCTTATTTGTTCAAAAAATCCAGTAAATCTTTAAGATATATTCATGACCTGGATCCGGGTCCATTATTTTCCAATCCCGATCTAAAATCCGCATCAAAATTAAATGGATCCTAAGCACTGTATTAAACATGGCTCCATATTATCTTCCAGGTTCTGACAAGAAGAAGCTGAAAGTTCAGTTAATCGCAGCATTCCCTCTTCTGACGGAAGACGACCTTAACAACCTTATTCCGACCAAGGATGAAATCATTCAAAGGAATCTCTCATTCAGCTTTTTAATCTCTCAGTTTTAGAAATATTTTATATTTTGATACTCTAGCAATAAATTAGAAATAAATCAGTACAAAATCACGATAAGTGGCGCAGTTATAAAAACAAAAACCTAACTAATTAAAATCTTGGTCCTTAATAAGAGTTACAGATAATTTTTAAAAATTTGCTCTGTTGACGGATTTATCAATATTTCTATAAATTAAATTGAATAAGTTAAAAAATAAAATAAATTTTAAAAGAAGAAAAAATTTCAATTGAATTGACAGGCGATAACAAACTTGACAAAATAAATCTTAATGATACTTATAGAAGTGTAATGAAACAAGCTTAAATAATTTATGCATTAATGTAAAAAAATTTGAGATATGGATTTACAGAAAAGTTTGAAATATGGAATTACAAAAAAGTTTGAGATATGGATTTACAGAAAAGTTTGAGATATGGAATTACAAAAAAGTTTGAGATGGATTTACAAAAAAGTTTGAGATATAATTACAAAAAGTTTGAGATATGGAATTACAACAAGTTTGAGATATGGAATTACAAAAAAGTTTGAGATATGGATTTACAAAAAAGTTTGAGATATGGGATTACAACAAGTTTGAGATATGGAATAGCAAAAAGTTTGAGATATGGAATAATAAAAAGTTTGAGATATAATTACAACAAGTTTGAGATATGGAATCACAAAAAAGTTTGAGATATGAAATTACAAAAAGTTTAAGATATGGAATAACAAAAAAGTTTGATTGAGTGATTTGTTAGTAAAATTTATACCTTTGGTGGAGAGAGTCTGCTTCTTTATATTCACAACAGGAAAATATCAATGTTCATCCTTTTTTTTTGGTGTCGTGACATTTTTTCAAGTGCGTGTTTGCGGCCAGAGGTGTATTCAGGGGGGCTAAAGGGGCTCAGCCCCCCCTTGGACCAGTGAAATCCATAACTTTTTAGGGGTTTTCTGGCTACAACGGGTACTGAGCCCCTCGGAAAGAAAGAAAAAAAAATATGCCCCTGCCCCCCACACAGTGGGGTATTTTAGGGGGTCATGGGGGGGGGTGACTGGTTTTTCTTACAATATTCCTCTTAAAATGCATTTGTATTGTGTTCCATGGTTAGAATGGACAAAATGAATATATTCTGATAATCTTTTCATTTACAGACATTGCATGAATTGTAGCTTGTATTGATTTTTAATGATTTCAATTTATAATTACTTTTCCCGTTCATAAATTTATCCTTGAATGGATCCTGTAAACCCGCAATATATTATGATGTCTTTGATACAGCGAGCTTTTTGGAAGAAACAAATATATTTTATGGCAAAAGCACAAGAAAGCACAGCGGTTTCGGGATAATCTAAATATTTAAATAGATTCTAACAGCCATATAGAAAAGATTTAGGGGCTCCAGCAGCACCACACATCCTAGTTTAGTCAGAGTAGCGTGTTGAAAGAGTTTTCAACGAAATAGCGGGTTTTCGGTCGAAATTCTTTACTAAAGCATAACATTTACACAACTTAGAAACTTCTCTAAAAAAATTCTTTATTGACTGCAATTTTAATATAAATATTCTAATCCTGAGGATTAATCTAATTCCTCATCAATGCCCCGCCGGCCGTGGTTTGTGGTTTACTGCAGGGATAACAAAACTCAAATATAAAAATTGTCAAGTGTACTGTATATTGAGATCAAGGGATCGGGATTATAAGTACCCAATACAAAAGTTCCCAGCTCAGGACAGCGTAAGAAAGATTAATAATTTCTATAATTTCTTTATATTGGTTTTTACCGTACATGAATAATGAATTTCACATTGATATTTGTATCTAGAGATACTGTGTTCTTCCAGCTGGAGAAGGAGAAAACCTTCTACCCTTCCGTTTACACACTTTGGAAACATCCATTAGTAAGCAGTGCTTAGAATCCGGATCCGTTGGATCCCCAAGATTTTGACTTCCTGGATCCGGATCCGCAAAAATATGCGGATCCACGGATCCGGATCCAAGGGGTAAAATATCAACCAAAAACTACAAAAAAAAATTTCTTTACTCCTAAAACCCAACTCTGAACTTATGAAAAAAAAAGAGATTGGATCCTAAGCACTGTTAGTAAAATATATATCAGATTTTTTATTTAATGCACATTTTCAACTTCATCCAAATAATATTTTGCTCTCTATCATGTTTCGCAACCCTGCTTTCTCCGGAATAATGGTCGACCATCTTATATTATTTTATATAAGGAAATACGTTACAAGCCAATGCTTACTTACCAGGTTTGGTCAAATCCTTGCAACCTTGCATGTTAACGATTCTCATTGGCCTGACCTGGAAAAAATGCGTAATCCCTACTTTTTGTTAGTCTGTAGATTAGTTTAATCTTTATTTGATATCTGCAGGAAAGTGTTAAAAATTCAACTAATTAAAGTGCTGTTTGCAGAAACCGAACCCCCAATAAAAAGTCGTGAAATTTTGTGCGCAATCAATGGGAGAACTCTTATTGGTCGGAACGCAGATAGAATATCAAAAAGAGACGATTAAGAGTCCACTGTGGATATCGAGATTAAGCTATTGGGTTAAGCTCTGAACAGATATCCAGAATATTTTGAAATATCTAAAAGAAATTAAACAAATCCGCCGGATATCAAAAGCCTAATTTTTCTGAACTTAAAGACACGATTCAAAAGTTCTGAACTTGACTTAGGTTGAAAACACTAAAAGCTATTATTCAGCTGTTACCTGTGTTTACTACGCATCCGCCTGTGCTAGCTAAGCTGGTGAATGGAGCTGATCTGATGCTTCCTGGAATAGTTGTAGATGAATCTAAAGGAATTAAAGCTTACTGTGATGGCAAGTAAGTTATAAACAATTATAAACTGTGAAATATAACATTAACACTTGTTTGTAATATCAAATTTACAAAAATTGTGTTCAAAATTGTGAGCAGAGTGTTACAGATTTAAAATTTTGTGAGATAATTCTAACATTTTGTTCATAAGTTGAAAGAAGTCGTTCATACATTCTAATTTCTTGGGTTTTTATCATATATTGTTAATTTTTAGTTTTCCTAATTATAAAATGCAAGATTTAGAATATGTTTTATACATTTTTTTTAACTTTTGTGAAACCTTTTTTTAAATAAAATTTTTATTTATTTAAAAAAAACAGTAAATTAATCCAAACAAATCTGACGCTCTTTGCAAAATTAATTCACAATAGATTAGGAAATTAGGGGAGGGGGTGGATAATATCTATATTATCAAGACATCCTAGGGGAGGAGGTGGATGATATCTATATTATCAAGACATCATTTTAATTTTTGTTTTTGAAAAAGATTGGAAAAGGGAGATATTGTTTCTGTTAACCTGACTTCTAACATGGCTCCTGTAGCGATTGGACGAACTTGGAGATCTTCAGAGGTAAACAGAATAAATAAAAAAATAAAAAAAAATCTTTAAAACTTTTAAGCTTTTAAGCAGAATAAATCTTTGAGTAAAACTGAAAAAATCTTAGAATAAAACTGAAAAAATCTTCAAATAAGACTGAATAAATTTTCGAATAAAACTGAATAAATCTAGAATAATACGGAATAAATCTTCGAATAAAACTGAAAAAAAAACTTTGAATAAAACAAAAAAATCTACGAATAAAATTGAATAAATCTTCGATTAAAAGTGAATAAATCTTTGAATAAAACAGACAAATTATGATTTGATTTTGATACTTGATTTAACAGATTCAAAGTTAGAAATATATCATAAACTTTGCTCTATCTGAGCAAAGCCGAGTAATTAGGTCGTTTGTATAGTAAATCCTTAGCTGATTTGTTGATACCGATCAGAATCCTGGAAATTTGAAATTTGGCGCACCTTTTAATTAAAGAACTCTCATTGATCAGAATTCAGAGCTGAAAACTTTAGAATGAGATATCCTTAATCCCAATCGGTTAATTAACAGATTGAGATTAATAACAAGAATTAACAAGGATTAATAACAAGCATTTATTAATCTGAAGATTTAGAAAAAGAGGAGATAAAGCATTGATCTCGATATCCACCATTCGAAAGTTTTCAGCTTAGTATTGGGATCCAAAAAGAGGGTAAAAAAGGTGGATAAAGCAGAAATCATAAGTGTCCACAGTGGATATTTAGTTTCAATTCTTAAGTTTCAGATCTGGACTCTTCAATTATTTTATTAGCGGATTTTTAAAAAAGTATTCTCTCTTTCTCTCTAGGATATGTATATGGCAGTGAGAAGAGGTAAAGGGGTGGATATTCTTCACACATACGGGGACCAGGTACAAAAATTGAATCTTTTTTTCTTTAAAATGTGTTTAATTTTATTTGATCAATGTAATCTACAGCTTAAAGGTTTCCATCGTCGTTATTGTCGTGACCCTGTTTGTATAAAGGGTACCGTTTTTCAACGGTACCCTTGCCACCGTAATCTGATAAAGAGGCATCGGTTTTCTGGCATGAACATTCTTAATTCTGCCAATTTCTCCATTGTTTTTGAAAAAGAACTGCTTTTGCTTTTGCAGAGAAACCACAAATGAAAATAAACAGTTTTCATAAACAAAAACAAATATAATTAATACTTGATGATACAAAGCTTTTAATGGTACCGTTGTGAATCGGTCGTCTTGAAGTTACGTTTAGAATCTCTTAAAGAGTTTTTAAACTATTTTGTTAAAATATTTATTTAGAAAGTTTTTTTTCTTATCTTTTAAAATTAAAGCCATTTTTCATTAGTAATTATTTTTCAATATTTGTGTGGATCATTCATAGATCATTTTTTATCCCGAACCAGTTTGAAGTTATTTTCAGCGCTAAGTTTTGTGGTCCTCAGGTTAATGTGTGCTCTCAACGATTCACAACAGCACCCTTAATATCTCAAGCCTTTTTTTCAGTTGTATCTTAAAAAGTGTGAAAAGGTCATAATTTTCAGTTATCAAACTTTTATATTAAACGTGTCAAATTAGACTTATATATGCATCATTTATATTTGTCTAAAGCAAAATTACATTAAACAATAAAAAAGTTTAAAATTTAATACTATTACTCTTTTCTTTGGATATCGCATTTTATGATTGACAGGGTTTGCCAAAAAAAAACAGGTGCCACACAAGACCTTTAGTATGAGTATAGTTTTCATACTTCTGACTTACAAATTTATCTTTCAACGCACAAATATGCTCATTTAACTCTTGGACAAAATCTAATACATAGCTATTAGTAGTTATTTTGCGTCAGTTTAAAACCACCTTCACATGTTTAAATTTAATGGATGAAAAGCAAATCCATAGATTAATAACTAGAAAGATTTCAAAGGTATTGTATGCAAATTCTTATTTTTTTAAAGCAGTATAGTCCAGAGGATCGACTTTATTCGGGTATCCTGTTAGTGTTGGAAAAAAGAACCCTGAGCTGAAAACTTTAGAATGGTGGATATTGAGATTAATGCTTGATCCTCTCTTTTTCTTAATATCGAGACTAATCTTATCATGTACATGGATATATATATATAGAATGGTGGATATTGAGATTAATGCTTGATCCTCTCTTTGTCTTAATATCGAGACTAGACTAACCTATCCTGAAAAGTGTATAAAATTCAACAAATCAGAGTCGCGTACATGAAGCCGATAAATTAAAAATTTTGCGTGCCATGTAAGATTATATACAGAAACGGGAGGGACTCTCTAATTTTAAAAAACTGGTTTTTGATTTTTTCTCTACTATATCCAAGAAAGAACGGTTTAAGAAGAAAATCAAAAGTGCATTTGATACTCAGATTAAGTAATCGAGATTAAGTATATCTCATTCTAAAGTTTTCAGCTCTGGTCCTTTTTCTTTTTCTTGTAAATGTTGCTTAAGATTTTGCTAATATATGATTTTAAACAGTTACAAATAACAAAATCATAATGAGAATTATTTTTTTTTTCTTGCCTCAATAACAAACGCCAATGTCCAAATGTGTACAAATAAAAATGCTTGCATAAAGAACAACATTTAAAGTCAAAATTATTAACTGAAGATTAATAAGACAATTATCTTTTTTAAGATTGCATATTGTGAAGAATTATTAACTAAAGACTAATAAGATAATTCTCTTTGTTAAGATTGCATATGGTGAAGAATTATTAACTAAAGACTAATAAGACAATTCTCTTTGTTAAGTTTGCATATGGTGAAGAATTATTAACTAAAGACTAATAAGACAATTCTCTTTGTTAAGATTGCATATGGTAAAGAAATATTAACTGAAGACTAATAAGACAATTCTCTTTGTTAAGATTGCATATGGTGAAGAAATATTAACTAAAGACTAATAAGACAATTCTCTTTGTTAAGATTGTATATGGTAAAGAAATATTAACTAATAAGATAATTCTCTTTGTTAGGATTGCATATGGTGAAGAATTATTAACTAAAGACTGATAAGACAATTCTCTTTGCTAATATTACATATGGTGAAGAATTATTAACTAAAGACTAATATGACAATTCTCTTTGTTAAGATTGCATATAATGAAGAATTATTAACTAAAGACTAATAAGACAATTCTCTTTGTTAAGATTGCATATAATGAAGAATTATTAACTAAAGACTAATATGACAATTCTCTTTGTTAAGATTGCATATGGTGAAGAATTATTAACTAAAGACTAATATGACAATTCTCTTTGTTAAGATTGCATATGATGAAGAATTATTAACTAAAGACTAATAAGACAATTCTTATTATTAAGATTGCATATAATGAAGAATTATTAACTAAAGACTAATAAGACAATTCTCTTTGTTGAGATTGCATATGGTGAAGAATTATTAACTAAAGACTAATAAGACAATTCTCTTTGTTAAGATTACATATAGGAAAGAATGCTTAACTACAGACTAATAAGATAATTCTCTTTGTTAAGATTACATATGGTAAAGAATGCTGCTCCCGGACTAAACCTGGATCCTAAGAAATCTTCTTTCATCCAGAATATTTTGNGGTATCTAAAGAATACTTGAACCTAGTTTACTAGTATTACATATGAAAGAAAAATGAATCAATGCAACTACTCATTTGACTAAATATTCGACGAGTCGCTTTTTCTTACAATTTATTATTATTTACAACGATACAAAAACTAAAGGAAAATACTATACGAATCAAATATTATGAATTGAGAATGTTTCAGAGTGAGGGGGGATCTCCAGGGGAACCTCTAGTCTAGGGAGCTGGTCTTCAACTAACTGCTTTTCCCTGATTTCACTCCACCCTAGGCTAGAGCTTAACCCTAGTTCCCCGGGAGCTGGCCGGCCATCCCACCAGCGCCCGGGCCTCTGGAATAACGGAACAATTGGCGTGGCTTGGGTTATCAGCGTGGCTTGGGTTATTTATAGAATTCACATGCAAACTCAAATAAATCCGTTAGGCTTCAAAAGTCTATCCAAAGGATAAAAAGGGGGGGGGGCATGATACCCCTAGGTAGCTATGATCTCAGCGATCTATCAAGATCCTTGAATCGCTGATCGTAAAAGATCAACAAAATCACACATTGTTACACTAATATAATTTTAGACTTACCACCACTTCTATAACTTACTATTGCTTACTACTAATAATACTACTACAAATACTATTTCTTCTGATATTCCTAATATTATTACTTCTACTTCTACTTCTACTTCTACTTCTACTGTTTAGATTGTTGAGGAGAAGCCAGTAGAAAATGTTCTACCCTGTGATAAGGTAATTTTGAAGTAAGAAATGCATTACTCACTTATGCAGAGAAATCACAAATGTAAATGAACACTTTTAAAAAAAAAACAATAACTTGGTTATTAGATTTAAGAGCTTTTAATTGTACAGTTGTGGATTGGACATGCCACAGTATTAATGTACAGTTGTGGATTGGACATGCCACAGTATCAATGTACAGTTGTGGATTGGACATGTGACACTATCAATGTACAGTTGTTGATTGGACATACCACAGTATCAATGTACAGTTGTGGATTGGACATGCCACAGTATCAATGTACAGTTGTGGATTGGACATGCCACAGTATCAATGTACAGTTGTGGATTGGACATGTGAAACTATCAATGTACAGTTGTAGATTAGACATGCAACAGTATCAGTGTACAGTTGTGGATTGGACATACCACAGTATCAATGTACAGTTGTGGATTGGACATGTGACACTATCAATGTACAGTTGTGGATTAGACATGCCACAGTATCAATGTAAAGCATTTCTTCTAATTTGCTTAAAATTTACGTGGAATTAATTGTTGCTGAAAACACAACAGCAAATACAACAAAAAAAAATGTTGTGAAGCACCCTGCAGAATCATATCATGATTCCTAGATTGGAAAAAAAATATTTGTCGGTGAAGAAACTAAAATAGTTTGCAAAATTTGTTCCCTCTCATTGACGTCATATTGGCAATAAATCATGTGGTCCTGCTGCTGGGTAATTTATTATTTATAAATCGGAGAACACGAAACAAGAGAACACAGTTTAACTGTCTTAAAAAGAATTTAAGTTAAGATCATTATGTTTATTTGTGTTTTAACGGAAAGGGACTTCTTTGGCGCTTTTTCAACGTTTTTTGGATACGCTTGTTTCATGTTTTATCACTTTAATTCTTCTAATCTAAAAAAGAGAAAAATGTCAAATGTATGCAAAATTACTGGTTCGATTCTGTGACCTCGTAGTTGGATTGTAAGCCCAAGTATGGGAAAGGCTAATCGGTTCGTTCGTATGATTGAAATAAAAAAAAACTCTTTTCCTTGGCTTTAACAAAAAAGCCTCATCAAACTCAAGGATGGCGATTTTAGGTAATTAAACGGATAAGAAAGATTGAACTATAAAAGGAAAAGTGAAAAAATAAATTATTTCAAGGGTGTTCATTTTTAAATCTTGAAAGCTATTTGTTTCTAAAGCTAATTAATTTCTTGAATACCTTTCTTAACATTCATTAATTCTTGATAAAATTTTCCTCTGCTAAATATTCCTAGGAATGCACAGCAGAAACATAATAAACCTTTAGGGAGCTCCCCTTTATTCATACATAACACATAGTTGGCCCCTAATGAATGAAAGGGATCTGAAAATGTTTGCATTGCTCAAACTTGGTCGTATTGCTGGGATCATAACTCTTAACGTTAAAAATTAATTATTTTCATGTTAATCGGGACTTGAAACTGCAGAGTCCGAATTTAATGAATTTGAGCCGTGTCTCAAATCCGCAAAAAAACGGTCTTGATTTAGCACCGGCTAAAATCTTAAACATTGAATACAATTGTAAGTGGAACCAATGATATTTGAGCAGCGTCTTAAATTTAAGCCGCGGCTCAAATTCTTTAAATTCGGAAACAGGCTGATGAATGGAGTCTAAAGCGTGCCCAAAACTCATAACTTGATTTGATTTGATTTTTGCGAATAATGTTGAGTGCTAACAGTCGTCAGATAGTTCAAAGACATAGTTTGAAGACACACAAGGGCTGAAACATGGAGCCGCCTAGACATCCATAAAAAACGAACGTTAATATTTTCATTTTTTGGAGGTCATTTAGGTCATTAGAGGTCATTAGAAGGTCTAACACTGGAGTTGTTGCTGCTAGTGTATTCCCTGGGTTCCTAGCTTTCGTTTGATATGCATAAAGCCATAGTTAAAATATTTTCTATTTGTGGAGGTCATTAGAGGTCATTAGAGTCATTAAACTTCAATTTTATTTTATTTTAGGAATNCCCCACACCAATAGGACATCTCCACCATCCCCTTTTCTTTATATTTAATTTGACATAAAATTCTCATTAACTTAAATTTAGCAAAAATGAAGATTTAACAGTTACCTCTTGTTGCAAGTAATTAATTATGAAATGTTGCAAGAATATTAAATGAAGAGTTGATTTACTATCGTCTAATTTTAAATCATTGATTTCTGGTAAATATATATGAAGAGAGTGCACGATATCACTTTGATATGATAAATATATATTTAAAGAGATCTATATATCCACCTACCTACCTACCTATATATCTGCTAGTGCTTAGGATCTGGATCCATTGGATCGTCGACATTTTGGTTTTCTGGATCCGGATCCTCATGAATATGCGTATCCGAGAGGCAAATTTTTCTGTTTTAAAACTTTTTGCTCTCAAAATCTAAATCTGAACTGTTGAAAAAAGAGAGATTATTAAAAAATTCTTATCCTAGAATAGCAGAGAAATAATTGAGAAAAAAATTAATAAATTTAATTCATTAAATATTCATTTCTTATACATTTCTTATTTATTTCTTATTCATTTTTTTCCATTTCTTATTCATTTCTTATTCATTTCTTAATCATTTCTTATTTATTTTTTATTCATTTCTTATTCATTTCTTATTCATATCTTATTTATTGCATATTCATTTCTTATACATTTCTTATTCATTTCTTATTCATTTCTTATTCATTTCTTATTCATTTCTTATTCACTTCATTCACTTCATTCACTTCATTCACTTCATTCACTTCATTCACTTCATTCACTTCATTCACTTCATTCACTTCATTCACTTAATTCACTTCATTCACTTCATTCACTTCATTCACTTCATTCACTTCATTCACTTCATTCACTTCATTCATTTAATCGCCTAAACCTGATTTAAAGTACTTTTTCTAAATAAAATTAATACTGGTCTAATTCATGAATATAAATGTTATGATATGTTTAAATTCCTTACCTAGCTGAACTGTTATTCTTATTACTCAGTATTTTAGAAATTTACAATGTCAACACATTAATATGTTTATGTTTAGTTCAATGAATGTTTGCTTTTTAAGTATTTATAACTATTTTGATTCAAGATACAGAGAAAACTTAAGTCCAAAAACTTAATAGCACGTCGTGCCAATATGATAGTGTTATAGGTAATTTTATGAACTTTTGTGTAACTAAATAAAAAAGCGTTTTAAGAAAACAGAAATAAAAACTAAATTTTTTTAGAAAATCCGGGAACCAATCAAAACTTTATAGTACGCGTGCTATAATGTACAGCTAATTTAACCTTATGCCACGATGATTACTTTGTCTTTATGGCATCATGAATTTTAAAATTCAGCACATAATGTTTCATAAAATAATTTTAGTTTCATAGGAATTTTAACACGATTTGACCTCGCAATCCATTTCAAGCCTCAGTGAGCACTAACATAAAGAATGTTTGTAACAAAATCTTGTGATTTCAGCTTGTTTTTTTTCTGGAAAAGAATTGAACATTCGCGTCACACCCTATATTTCTTTTCACTTAATCTTTTCAATTTGAGGCCGAATTTAAAGAATTTGAGCCGCGGCTCAAATATGGTTGGTTCCATTTAAATTTTATTCGACTTTTTAGCCGGCGCTCAATTAAACAATTAAAACCGGCTTTTGGGGGNATATTTGTGTTTACTGTTTAGGTGAAGATGGATCCAATTCTGGCTGATGTCGTCCTAGGTAAGCTAAAAACTGTAGATAAATATGCATATATATATATATATGTGTACAAAATGCCTTACTCCAATAGCTTTTTCTTAAGTCTGTAACAATCCAGGTATTTCCTTCTGTATTCTCAAGTATCTATCAATCCAGATACAACATTATGTATTCTTCAATGTGTATCGTAAAGATACAATTCGCTCTCGAACTCAAGGTCCCTCAATAATACTTCAGTCCGTATCAAACCAGATACAACCGTATATGTATTCCTTTAGTCTGTATCTATCTTTAGAGATACAACTCGAGCTGAACCTCCTGTTTCTCTACACAAGAATTAAAACGTGTCTAACCATTAACTCCTCGATGTTTCTCTTGATATTGATGCTGATCCTGATGTTGCTGTTGATATTAATGCTTCTCTTGATCTTGATGTTTCTCTTGATCTTGATGCTTATCTTGATTTTGATGCTTCTCCTGATCTTGATGCTTATCTTGCTCTTGATGCTTCTCTTTATTTTGATGCTTCTTCTGATTTGATGCTTCTCTTGATATCGATTTTTCTCTTGATCTTGATGCTTATTCTCTTAATCTTGATGCTTTTCTTGATTCTATGATTTTTTTACTCATGTTGTGTATAGCAGACAGATATCCGGCAAACTTCCACCTCTCCTTAGCTTTTTCTACTGGATTAGCTGGATCCCCATCTAGATCTGTTGCAAATACTATCTTCATTTTACTTCATTGTCTAGCTGGTATTCTACGTTCATCTTCTCTGATCTCTTCTTATTGATTACAAATTCTAAGACATCTGTTTTCCCATAATGTTTTGAATGTAACGCCAAAACCGAAAAGTTTTCCAGGAATATTTTGATCACTTCCTCTGTACGTTTTTCATCCTGGTTTAATATCTCATTTTCATTTATCTTTAAGCTTTTATGAATAAAGTTCTTCTTGTTCTCTCCTGTAGAATAATCTGAATCTTGCATTGAATTTATTGTTTCTGTTAAATGTTTTATCTTTATCTTCTCTTACTTCCTGTTTTCTTCCGCCTCTTAATTCTTCTCTGAGCCAGAACATCTCATTTTCATCTCTCTGGAACTTTTCATGAATAAACTTCCTCTTGTTCTCTTCTGTAGAATTATCTGATTCTTGTATAGAATTTATTGTTTCCGCTAATGTTTCATCTTCATCTTCATGATTCTTCATGTTTATAGCTTCTCCAATCTCCAATTCTCCTCTACTTGTATTTTCAATAATTTAGCACTTCCAGCAGGAATGGGCACTTTCTCTCTTATTTCCAGTATATGATTCACAGTAAGGGGCTCAATAAGGATTTTCTCCACTTTCTTTCCAATTTTATCTATCTTCTCTTCCTTATTCATAATTGGGAATGGAGAGCCCGTCACACTGCATAACCAGGTTAATCTTTCCTGACTTATTCTTACATTAGATAAACTAATATATCTGTTAGATAAACTAATATATCTGTATTTGGCAGACCTCACAGTGTGAGATGTCTCATCCATAACCTTTCCTTCAATACACTTACTGGAGATATCAATTTAGTAAAAGGATTTAGGATGATATACCCCTCTTGTGTCCAGGGAAAGGGGAGAACCATGTTGTAGAGATGAAGTGGGATGAATTGACCTCAAGGGTTCAAATGAAAATGTCGGACGGATTTTCTCTGCAGGTAATTTTTACACAATATTTGTTAAAATTGTATGCTTCGCGAAATAAATATATTTGTAACACTAAACTACAGTAAAATTTCTTTTTCTTGGAATAGAAAAAAAATTGATAAAACTAAATTTGTATGAAAAAATAAACTACTCTTTGAAAATTTGTACAACATGCATACATGAACGCTTCAAATTAAAGGCTCACATTGTCAAGATTTATTGTACACTGATTTAACAGTCGAATATGTTATATTATACCAAGTTAATAATTTTTTTTTATTCCAGTTTGAAAAATCATTTATTCACAATGTTACATTACGCTTGCTACATGATGACGTTACAAAAAATATTAAAAACAATTTTCCCAAGCTTACGTTAAGCAAGATCAAAAATCATGAGAGGAGGTTAACTTCTGTTTCTAGTTTCCTGGACAACCTACTGAATACCACAAGGGAAAACTGGATCCAATAGAGCTCACTACTGCAACCAGATCAGGTTAGAAAACTATAAGATAAGGGAAGATCTGAAAACCCTCCTATCTTGGAGAGCCCAGACCGACATCCGGGCTAACGCCAACGATGTTTGATCAAGGTAGGTTTCCCTGGAGAGAGGGAGATTTATTTTCAAGTTCTCAAATTTTCAAGTTTTCCATGTTTCCAGTGGTCTTCTCAATTTCGCCACAAATCCATAGAAGTAAATACGCGTATATTTCAATCTTGTAAATAAGTACGGTTAACAATAATGCATTGATATGGATCAATTGAATATTTAAATTTTAACAATGTTTTATATTGTAAATATGCTTACTAGTTGAGGATAATGGGGGTAAAATGAGGCGTCTGGTTATCAAGAATAAAACAACATTTAAACTTCTGAAATAAATATCCGTTTGGTTACAAAATTTGTTGTTTTCTGCACAAAAAGCTTTAGGTTATAATTTACAACTATTTACAGATAAAGTATTCATAAAGTAAACCACTCTTCATACTCCCCCCTCCCTCTACCTCTTCACACATAATAAGGAATGGGTCTTGGTAGTCTGGACTATGCCTGTGGTTCTTGTTCAATTAACTATTTAGAATCACAACTTGAGTCTAATAGTAGACTTCCTATTCCAAGTGTTATGGATCCCACTTTAAATATTATTTAGGAAATAAGAAAATAACTCTGATATATAATCTGGAAACCTACAGAATAGACCCTCAACAGTTTGCACACAAATGTCAGGTATGTTTTTTTATAATTTTTTTCATGCTTTCATTTTTTTGTCTAATTGCATCTTAACTTTGAGTCCCTAACCAAGCATGATGAAATTAAGTTACGCACTTTATAATCTTCTTGAATTTAGAACAATGATTGTTTTTCATTTTTCAAAAAGAAGGGAAGAATTTTTATAATGTTTTTAGTTCTGTAATCCCGTAAATACTTAAAAATCTTTTACTACTAACTAGATATTGTTAAAACCCTTTGACAGTAAAAAGCGAATTCCCAATTTTACTTAACCTAAGTCTTATTGTTTAATTTCAATCGATGGTAACTTTTGATCAACATGAAACTGCAAAATTGACCTGTACATGAAATGTACTGCAGGTTGGTGTTGCAGCGAGTACAGCTGTGAATCCAGCTGTAAACAGAAAAACCGGTTCTGAGGTTATGATCCAGGTAGCTGTACCAGTGTGCACTAAAAGCTTGAAATGCTCCCGGGGGAACGGGGAGGGAAATAAGAGATTTTCGTATTTTGGTATAACAGGATTAAAAATTGTAACAATCTTATCCTTCAAGAAATTTTCCAGTTTCATTTGTATTTTGCGGGAAACAATGGTTTTGCGATGGTTTCGCAGAATTAAGAAAGACATTCAACACTGAGAACAAATAAACAAACTCACAAAAGATGATGTACGGAGGGAATTCAGTTTTAATATTCCCTGCAGTTTAGCCAACCTATTTTCTTCATTTTACTTTTCTTACTTCTTCTTACTTTTGTGGTGATTCTCAGCAGTCCCGGTGGGACCATTATGAGAATTCCTGCCAGGCAATGAACTGTTCATCAGGACTTCTGCAAGACTGGATTTAGATAGCATCAACAGTTCTTGTGCATAGATAATCATCATATCAGGATTTGAACATATTGATAGCAGGGGTCCATATAATTCCTTTTTCAATCCCATTTGGGATTGACAAATTTGAAAGAAATGGGGGCAAATTTTTTTTTAATGATAATTTTTAAAAAAAATTGGGAGCATAATTGGGGGCATTTTTTAAGTTGGGGGCAAACATTTATTTTGGGATCGAGAAAATAAGCTATTTTGGGAATTATATGGACCCCTGATTAATAGAGGTTCAACTTTTGACATGGGCTGGTAGTTTGTTCCATATATCTGGTACTCTGATACTAAAGAAATTTTTTATGATTTCAGTCCTTGAAAAAGACTCTAAAGACTACAAAATAGAAAACAAAAATCAAATCTTCAGTTCGTTATATTTAAAGTTTTAGGTTATCCTTTGTAGGTTACCATTTCTGCATATTGTATATTGTATATTGTATATTGTTCTGTATATTGTATAGTGGGGCATAGAATTTATTTCTTTTTTATATTCTTATCTTTAAATACGGTTAAGTCATTTCGAAATCACATGTTTATTTCTTATTTATATTCTTATCTTTACATACGGTTAAGTCATGTCCAGATCACATGTTGCTGTTTAAACTTAACTGGGGAATTTTAATTATTGCTTTGTTTGTATACTGTACAATGTACAATGTACATACACGTCTGACGTCACTAATATACAAACGTTTTTATCTTACATTTTCATTAAAAAATTCTTAAGATTTAATCCAGGATTTTCTGTTGATAATATACTTAAAATTTTTAACTCTTCGTACTCAATGTTCTTGATGAATTGTAAGTACCCTATGTACTTCATGTACTCTATGTGCACTATTTATCCCTCTATGAACACTACGAGTCCATACATTTCATGTATTAACTAGCTTAGGAACCCAGCGTTGCCTGGTCATAAATAGTCCCACCGTTTACCCACGCTTCGTCGTAAATTATGATTTTAGCTATGTTTTCCATTAAAATGGACCCACTCATTTTAGAATCTCAAAAATCTCCGGAGTTCCCCAAACTAAATTTGTTGCAAATTGTTCAAGGGGTTCCTGAGTTATGATCGGACAAACAAACAAACAGACAAACAGAAATTACAACTATATATATATACATATATATATATAGATGATGTGCTTGTGGACTAATAAATTTTTTGTGTGCAGGGAAACCAGGTTGCCTTTGCTACCAGACTGCTTTTGGAGGAGTATAAAATACCAAGGGGTGTATTCTAAACTTATTTATTTTATTCATTTCAAGCAAGGGGGAAACTTTTTCATTGAAAATGTGGCATGGAAGGGGAAAATGTTGTGGCTTATGGCCATCTGCCTTCCCCTATTTTTCAGACAAATGTTTAAAGGTTGCTTTTGTAAATTAGACATTTCAACGTAGGGTCACTTGAAATCATGCCTGATCCCTTTTGCTGATTAATGGAATGTTCCAGTCCTGGCTACAAATATAAAATATATCATTTTAATGATTTGACAGAACCTGCATCAGCAATTAGATCATATCAAGTTATAAATGCCAGGCTTAAACTGTTGTGTCAAATGTAGTTTAAAAACCTGGCAAAAATCGTAGAAAATTTCAGGAGTTTTTTAATGGTTTTTAAAAGATATCCGTACATTTATTTGCGAGAAGCAAATATGTGTGTGTGTGTTTTTATCATTAAATTTGATGCAAATTGGTGGTTTAAAGGGAGTGTTCACGAAAAATGAAAGGGGGTATAGGCTTACGGCGATAAATAATCGATTTTGATTGCTACTAATCTTAAATTCCATCTGTTGCGTCTATAAGGAGAAAATTGTTAAAAACGACGTATACCGAAGAACTTAGTGTCCATACAAATTGAAAAAGTTGCAACATACGACTAGGATCGTAGAAAAATCAAATTAATATCAAACAAATCATTGAAATATTAAAATCTTTTGACATCGATTATTTTTCGATGTATTCGAATATAGTTAACTTTTCATAATATTTGTTATTTGTTTATATGCAATGCGCTTAAAACGACGTTTTTTCCGCTAGGTGTCTCTGCCACGTGAAATCATTCAAAGCATCGAGAGTAGAGACACCTGGCGGCTAACTATTTCGGCGTTTTTAGTGCATAACAAATAAAAAAATATTATGAAATATCAACTATATAGAAATGTGGCGAAAAATAACTGTATGACTGTAGGTTGTAATAGCTGAATGATTTGTTTGAAATCAAATGGATATTTTTACGATCCAAGTCGTATGTTGCAAGTTTCTCAATTTGTATGGACGTTACGTTCTTCAGTATAAGTCGTTTTTAACCATTTTCTCCTTACAGACGCAACAGATAGAAATAAGATTAGTAACAATCAAAAGCGCTTATTTTTGCCGTAAGCCTATACCCCCCTTTCATTTTTCGCGAACACTCCCTTTAAGGGAAATCAGATTATTCTTTGGGTAAAGAAAATGGGGAAAGAAAACAGCCAACGTCTAATTTTCTTTTCAAATCTTTTCTTTTCTATTCAAAAAAGCAGAGCCAGAAAATTTTTAGAATTTAATGATCAAATATATTTGTTTAAAACACCGTTGTGTACAGGAAGTACATAAAAGGGACTGAGAATGCTGTTAAGAAGAAGAAATAGAAATCTGTTTTTAGAAATTGTACAACACTGGATTTCTAAATAAAAAACTGGAATTAAATCCCTGTTTTGATTTATTTGAAATTTTTTCTTGTACAGGGTGTCCTAAAAACCTGGAAAATAAGTGACAATATCTATATCGTCTCAAAAATGGATTCCTAGAGCCAAAAAAACATATATAAGGCATATCACATATCAAAGTGATAAATTAAAGATTTTATGATATTTGAGGGTGCTTGGTCTTTTTGAAGCTCCCTAACATATAGAAGAAGTTCTTTAGCCACGATTTTTTGGAAACCAATACAAACTTATTTTAGAAAAAAGAAGAAAAAATGGTTTTAAATGTCTATTATTTATTTTTGTCTTCTTTTTACCCCTAACATATTTTGGGAAAATTTCCGAAAATATAGTTTCAAGTACAGTGCAGGGTTACAAAGGATGAAACTTCAGAGACGACTGTACATAATTTATACTGTCTATTTATTTTTTTCTCTCTCTGCAATCGTAAGATGGTGTATCTTTCAACCTACGCAAATCCGCTATACTCCACTTCTTAACTACGTCAAATCCGCTTTACTACACATCCGACCTACAAGCACGCGGTTTTGCAGCTGTTAGATGGACTAGTGGCCGCAGCGCCTGGCCCCCCATTTTGTCCTAGCCGCGGCGCTCGTCCCCCTAGCCTCAGCGCTTGGTCCAGAAATTGTCTTAACCCAACCCAACCTCAAATAATACAAAAATAAACAGCTGGCGTAGTTCCGATATTGCTGTAGGTCGGAAAGTTAGTAGGTCAGAAGTTCAGTAGGGGGGATGTTGCATATAGTCGATGTAACATTACCAATCGTAAACAAGTTATTTTTTTCCTAACCAATATATAAGCTAGTAAAAGATTGTATTCAAGGTGAAAGACTTAATTTAACTTTGGCATCGTCAGGTTTAAAGAATTACAGGATCATCCCTTATGGGTTTCCTTGTATCTTGTTTAAAAGTTGGTTAAAGATTTGACATTTTTTAAAAACAAAAAAGTTGCAACATTTAAAAATAAAGCTTTTTTGCAACTTTTCATTTTTTTCAGAATTTTGTTGCTATTTAACCCCGACCCCGGAGGTTTCAATAACATTTTTTTATTTCAAATTTGTTGTCTATTTGAAAAAAAATTCTCTGATAAGTACCATAATGTATAATAATTTAAGGGAAGGCAAACATTTAGATTTTTATCTTTATAAAAGACGATTATCGCAGCCCTATCTGTTTTTTTAGAGAGGGGGGATCTGGGCCGTCCTGAGCCCCTCAAAATGGGCTTCCAACCGTCAAATTTTCTTTGAGCCCTGCAAATTATTTTTCATTGGACTTCCGTGACAGCCCCCCCCCTTCCTTCATGTTGAATATCAATGTTCAATAATTATAAAAGGATATGATAATGGGTTTTCATGGAAACTCAATACTGATGAAATCTTTATTTGATATTGGATATTGTATCTACAGTGTTCAGGGTATTTTCTTTGAAAGTAAAGATACAGGATGGGGCTTTTATATCAAATTGAATTATGATAAGAATTGTTCCAAGACTAGACAAGTTGCATACAGAAGTTCCAGGGTTTCTGAGTGACTCTGATGAGATATAGAATTCAGTAAAGCCAATTCTCATCCAAGCTTAAAACAATGTTTGTGATATTAAACCTTGTATGCACATTTTTTTATTTCTCAAACCACAGAACGTAATTCAAAGGACAGATCAGTTCGTCGAACTGACCAGAAAATTAAAAACGAATGAATCATTTAAAAATGTATGGGCTACTAAAAAAATTTGTTTGCAGAAATACCAGGTTTTTCAAATGTTATGCGAGTATTTTGACACTGAAGCTTGGAGATAATCCAATGATATGGGACGCTCTGAAGCTGAAGATTTCAATCAATCAATCAAGGTGTAGAGTTTTGGGTTATTGTATATTTCTTGTGTGTCCACTGTCCAGTGGTTCCGGGGAGGAAGCATGGCTAGAACTTAGTCTCAATAATTAAGGCAATACAAATAATTTCGTTTTTTCAGCAAATAGTGCACTTATATAAACTTGTCAGACGCCCGATATCTTCCTGATCAGAACAAGTTCTGTCTTAACACTAGATAAATACTTCTCATCTTTGAGAAACTCCAATTATTTAAACTTTTTAAAACAGTTTTTAAAAACCTCCGTTTTTACACAGGCACATCTTGATGTATTGCGCATAATCATTTCTTCATAGTGTAGGCTCGGTCTGCCTTGAAAATCTGTGAGGCTCGTGTCTGCATAGCAGGGGCTCATGGCATCTAGGGGTTCCTTCCCTCGTTACCCTCAAAGGATGAGACTTCAAAATTTATTTAAATTTTCAATTTCCTGTAAATGTAAACTTGTCAACTAGTTTCTTTCTGGGCCAAATTATTATATAAGTCATTAAAAAATTAAATGGGAGGCAGAAGACTGTATATAACCTAGAAATAACGTCATGATGAGTTTCAGGTGGTCTTTAAAGTCTCATCCTGTAGGGTAACCCTGTACAGTGTACACATAACGCTTATACTTACATAAAATATTTGTACTTTTTATATTGCACTAGTTGTGGACGTGGTGATGATAATTTGTACATTTTAAGTCCAAAGTTTAAAATTATGCAAATTACTATGACATCATGCATGCGGAATCGATGAGATTAATGGGAATTAAAGAGCGGATATTATACAATTCCAATATATTCGTATTCTGAATGTTTATGGAATAATTCAAACAAATTTGATACTCATAAAATGACCTAGTTATAGGTTAATATTTAAAGAAAAAGTCATTTCATTTTACGCATATGTACGACAAAAGTTTTACTCATAAACATCTAAAAGTTGAAAAACAAAAAAGCACCCTAAAGTTAAAGGTGGTTAGCGCCCCTTAAACGTCAACAGGTTACACACATGATAGATATAAACAGGTTTAAGTACTTGTATAAATCTTATTAAGTGTAGATTTTAGATACCATTTATTGCACGTATTTGTGGTTCCCAGATACCACACCTACACACATTTATCTGACAAGATTCAGTACGGTACCCTACACACATTTATCTGACAGGATTCACTATGGTACCCTACACACATTTATCTGACAAGATTCACTACGGTACCCTACACACATTTATCTGACAAGATTCACTATGGTACCCTACACACATTTATCTGACAAGATTCACTATGGTACCCTACACACATTTATCTGACAAGATTCACTACGGTACCCTACACACATTTATCTGACAGGATTCACTACGGTACCCTACACACATTTATCTGACAAGATTCACTATGGAATCCTACACACATTTATCTGACAAGATTCACTACGGTACCCTACACACATTTATCTGACAGGATTCACTATGGTACCCTACACACATTTATCTGACAGGATTCACTAAGGTACCCTACGCACATTTATCTGACAAGATTTACCATGGTATCCTACACACATTTATCTGACAGGATTCACTACGGTACCCTACACACATTTATCTGACAGGATTCACTACGGTACCCTACACACATTTATCTGACAAGATTCACTACGGTACCCTACACACATCTGACCGAAGAAGAAAGGGCACCGGTGTGAGTCGGACATATCCCTCCTTCATTCTTATTTCTATAAACTTTTAAAATGAATTTCATAAAAACAAGGTTTCAAGATTTTTTTATGGGGGGGGGGGACAACCCCCTTGGTGCTCCCTTGTATGGTGTATTTACTTCCTTGAGTTCTAGAGCTAGTTGCAAAAGAATTTGTTTATGCTTTTCCCCCGAATTTTAGAATCATTGTAATAAAATTAAACATGATTTGAAGAATATTTTAACCTTCCTCAAGGTCATTCGCGCCCCTTTTAAATAGAATTTTGCAGATTTTAAAATATTTGAAAAATCGAAAATAGTAAAATCTGCAACAAAAAGCTTCTCTGGGATCAAAAGAGCTAGGTTTCGATCACAAAAAAGTTCGACTAAAAAGGTTCCGTCGTGTTAATTTGTATTGGACATTATACAAACATGATATACAGTGCGTTCAAATTCCTAAAATGATTCAGGCGGGCACTTCTCATAATTTGAATTGTTCATTTTATATAGTTTGATATATATTTTCAACAACAGCTAACTGAGCACACAGGTAGAGAACTATTATCCCCCCTGGACCTAACCTATAGTATATCAATATTAGTAAACAGTTGTAAGTGTACAGCACAGCTAACTGAGCACACAGGTAGAGAACTATTATCCCCCCTGGACCTAACCTATAGTATATCAATATTAGTAAACAGTTGTAAGTGTACAGTACAGCTAACTGAGCACACAGTTATGAGAACTATCATCCCCCCTGGACCTAACCTATAGTATATCAATATTAATAAACAGCTGTAATGTACAGTACAGCTAACTGAGCACACAGTTATGAGAACTATCATCCCCCCTGGACCTAACCTATAGTATCAAATCAAATCAAATCAAATATTATTTATTTACGCAGAAACATTGATAAATCATTATTACAAGTGGTAGATTAATTGTCAACTGATTAATGTTCTGCGTCTGGAGAACTGCTATAGCTGTAGCTGTTTTCATATCAGTTCCCCAGTTGCTCGATAATAAAAGAAAGAAAAATTATAGATACGGAATTGACGGTGTGGTGGTGGATGGTTTAGGTAGGGCAGGAGGATTGGATAGAGGAGAACAGGGACCTCTTAGCTTCAACTATGATTTGTAAATATTAATTAGGACAATCTGGACTCCAATGAATACATAACCTTACAAATTACAATGTATCAATTCTGAATATATGATTAACTGAAATCTATATATATGAGTTAAGATGATGAGATCGTTAATAACTAGATAAAACCTCCACCCTTTACAATCTGTACACCAAAATTTACTCAACAAATTCTAGAGCAGGTATAACAGAAAAGTTTATTACAAACAAAGTTTTATAATCTTTCCAACAGATGCTGTTTAACTGAGTATTTAAAAGCGTTCTTATTGCTTATTGACTGAAATGTAG